CATTTAAAAACATGAGTTCAACAACAAACTATGCTAAACTATGACAAATGCTGTAACTTAAAAGTCTTTTTCTTCCTTTTATTTTATTAATTATAATGCTAAAAAACTCTATTGTAAATGAGGGTAACACAAACAAAACTATTCTTGCTGTTCCCCTGAACTAACTACCAGAGCTGTCACACTGGCTGTGCAGGTTACAAACGGCAAAACTCCAGGGGTACCAGTCATACCATGTGTGTGTACACGTTGCACACACATACACATACATATGTTACAAATGTTTGCGTATATATACACATATGTGTCATTTTATTACAAAATGGCATTTACTGCACACTGTCACAGGAATGAGAATTTACTAGCAGTCCCCCAGAGTAGACAGTATAGATATCTCTTTGTTTTGTGACTCTATTTACTCTGCTCAGTCTCTGCCACTCCATCCAACTATGCTACCCTCATCCTGCCTTTAGTACCTGCTCATAGTCATCCTCTCAACCTGGACTCCTACCATCACTCATTAGGAACCACCTAATACATTCCTTGATCTCACTTCCACTGCTCTTCACACGACCTCAACCTCTCACCCTCCTCGATCACATCCCGAACCTTCTCATCACCCCAAACTATACCTCAGAAGTGACTAATTCAGTGGCGCCTGGGTGGCTTAGTCGGTTAAGCATACAACTTCAGCTCAGGTCACGGTCCCGCGGCTTATGAGTTTGAGCCCTGCGTCGGGCTCTGTGCTGATAGCTCAGAGCCTGGGTCCTACTTTGAATTCTGTGTCTCCCTCTCTCTGCCCCTCCCACACTCACACTGTCTCTCTGCCTCTCCCTCTCCCTCTCTCTCTCTCTCTCTCTCAAAAATAAAAATTAAAAAATTTAAAAAAAAAAGAAGTGACTAGTTCAAACATCCTATTCTCCCATCACAGTCTTCCATCTTCTGGTTTGCACATTCAAATAACTAGCTGGTAAATAAAAACAAACAGCATAGGATGGGGGCCACAAGCATTCAGGTCACTTGGAAAGTGAGATTCCCTCTGTTAAACAAATATATATTTTATGCATGTGATTTTCATCAGGATCATTCTATCATTGAGAATTTAAGTAAACATTCACAAGCCACTCCCTATCATCCCAATAGTGGATAAAAACCAGAAAGAGGAGCAAATTTCATCTTGATTAAGACAAAAAAAAAAAAAAAAAAAAAAAAAAAAAAAAAAGCATTCTCATACAAATTCCAAAGAATTATTAGCCACACATAATTCAACCTGGCTCACAAAAAAGATACAACATTGAAGAAAGTTTGGAAATTTTTTACACGGAAATAGCATCCCTATAGAAAGGGAGACCTGAAGTTGCAGGAAGTTTTATAATAAAGATGTAGAGTCCCTTTTTCCTCCAAAGAAAGACAGTGAAGGTGTGGCCAAGAGATAAACCATATAACCCAAAACAGCAGAGAAAGATGAATGGTCTTAAGACAAGCCTACCAGAGATTACTCTGCAGGGAAAAGTATAAGCTCATTGTTGTATAGATTTGCACATGAAGTACAGCCTAACTTCTTAATCAATAGCGTATTCACCCAAAAGCTAAAGAGAGCAAAATCTAAGCGGCAAACTTCAGAATGGCCAAGAGATTGGGTACACCTGGACTGCCAAACATTAAACTGTATGCTAAAGTCAGAGTATTAAAATCAACCTAAAACTACCACTGAAAGACCAAAATATTAATGGAATGAAAAAACAAATCAAGAAAGAAACAATGATATATAAGGGAATCCACTATACAATAAAAATAATATATCCAATTAAAAAGGAAAAACGGACACAACAATAACAAAAAGGGAAAAACAGATTCACTGAATGGTGTTGAGACAACAGTTTAGACATTTGGAAATAAATCATATCCTTATCTTATTCCTTCTTTCAAAATGTATTTCAGATATTTCAGATATTCAAATGTATTTAAATATACAAATAATACCATAGAAATACAGGAAGGAAACACTGGTGGGTATTATAACAACTGTAAAGCAAAAATATGAATAGGAAGGAAAATGAGTAAAAATTTCTTAAAATGACACAAAAGGCAAATATTAATTACTAAGATGTTTCGGGTGCCTGGGTGGCTCAGTTGGTTTAACATCTGTCTCTTGATTTTAGCTCAGGTCACGATCTCACAGTGGTGGGATCAAGCCCCGTGTCAGGCTCTGCTCTGACAGAGCAGAGAGCATGCTTGGGGTTCTCTCTCCCCTTCCTCTCTCTCTCTCTCTCCTAAAATAAATAAGTATTTTTTAAAAACCCTATTATAGTAGTTTATAATTTTACCAACATAAATTTACCTATATAAATTCAAACTCGTGCCACAGAAAACACCAAAAAGTAAAATACATTTTTTCCAATATCCATGTCAGAAATACCCTAACGGACAAAAAAACTCTTATAAATCAGTAAGAAAAAGGTGAAAACCCAATAGAAAAACATATAAAGGATCTGAGCCAGCAACTCAAAGAAGAAACACAGTAACTCATAAAGAATAAACTGTTAAACCTCATTAACAATTCACATAAATGCAAAAAAGAGGTAAACATTTACTTACTATGTCTCAGATACTGTTATCAGCACTTTATAAACTATCCAACTTAATCTTCACAACAGCACCAAAATCTAAGTACTATTTTTAGCCTCCCTTCACTACAGATGAAGAAACTGAGTAAATTATTTAAATCCCTCATAAAATAACTGATAAAGCCAGTAAGGCACCATCAGTTAAGCGTTAGGGCTCTTAACCACTATGCTATACTGTCCCATAAAATAAAAAAGAAGTCTTTCCCTCATCCAATTAGAAAATATTCAATTTTCAAAACCCAGCATTTAAGACAACGTACATATCCTTTACAAATGGTTCGTAGAACTGTGCATGTGTTTAAACGTTCTGGAAAGAAGGGTACCAGTTACATCTGTCAGTATTTATAATTGGCATGCCACAGCATGGGGAACAAGGTATAGCCTACTACCATCCCTTTCTTAGAAGCACTACTCCTCCTGCACTCCAAGCGGGAGTGCTGCCATCAAGTGACCAGCCTCCAGTGTCACTCTTCCATGGATACGTAACTCAGGCAGGCCTTTTGAAGTTCTCCCTGGGATTGACATATGGATGTTGGAAGAGAAAGAGTTTTCTTTCTGCTTGCACTATAATGCAATTTGCCTCTCATGTAAAAGAGCCTTAATGCAGAATGAGACCAAACAGACAAGTAAAGCAAAGAAAGAGAAAGAACTTGGCCAGTATCCTTTGAGCCCCCAGATCCAGCCAGAAGCAGGCCAACCTGAAACAATGATTTGTGCCAATAGAGTTCTTTCTTTCCTCAGTTACTTTAAGTTGGGCTTCAGTGACTTGCAATCAAAAGTTTCTTAATACACATTATAATCTTACCTCTAAGAATCTTAGTTATAAAACTGCACAAATGTGAAAGGAAAAAGATACAAGGATATGCATTCAAGTGTCTTACCAAAAAAAAAAAAAAAAAAAAAAAAAAGTCAAAATGCCCACCAAAAGAGGACTGGTTAAATAAATTACAGAAGTGTTTCTTAAACTTGCCTGATTAGAATCACTTGAGCGTTTTCTTTTTTCTTTTTTTTTCTTTTCTTTTTTTTTTTTAAAGTTTATTTATTTTGAGAGAGAGAGTATAGGAGAGGGGAAGAGAAAGAGGGAGAGAGAATCTCAAGCAGGCTCCATTCCATCAGCACAGAGCCTGACACAGGGCTCAATCCCTTGAACTGCGAGACTATGACCTGAGCCAACATCAAGAGTTGGATGCTTAACTGACCAAGCCACCCAGGCGCCTTTCACTTGCATGCTTATTGAAAGTACAGATACTCTGGCCCCTGGGAGAGTCTAATTCATTAGGTTAAGGTTGGGCTATTGAGATGGCTCATATTTTTAAAGAGCATCCCCTACAAAATTTTCACAGTCAAGATACTTGGATACCCCAAATTATAGTGTTTACATATACAATGGTACATCATTCAGACATTTATGTGAGAAAGGTGTCCAAAACAAATTGCTACATGGGGAAAAAAGACAAATCACAAAAATACATGTAATACTTGGTTCTCTTCACACAAAATATGTAGCTATACCTGTGTATATATGTTTAACCAGAGCACTCATTTTTAATCAAAGCAGAGGTTCCAACATTATTCAGAATCTTACTGAGTCCCAACTACCCTAAAGCACCTATGTTCTGAGTTGCTATTACTAATAAAAATGTTACATACCACACAAGCAGACATAAGACAACACTGTGGCAAAGAGAAAAGTCTGGAACAATGTTCATCAAAATGGTAACAGAAGTTATTCCAATGGTAGGTTCAGGTGATTTTTACCAGCTTTTTTCTAATGTTCTATATACTATTTTAATTTTTATTTACAATGAATAAATATTTTCAGAATTGGTTGGAAGAAAGCTGTTTGTATGGAAGAAAGTTAAAATATTTTTAACCAAGTAATTTTATGGATTATTAAATATAGATTTTCTGAAATGGGAAAATTCTTACTAGCTTTCAAACTTCAAATGTTAAAGTACAGTGGTTGCTTTCAAAGGCATGATTCTCTTTAAAGAGCCAAGGGAAATGTGGTATGTTGTATCACTTAATTAAAATTCAATTTTGACATATAAAATAATAAAAGTAGTCTTTTTGAACAAGAATTATTTTTTTTAATCACAAAGAACAAAAAAAATAGATTTAATTTTGTTCATTTACTCTCAGACTCAAGACAATGGTCAAGTGAAAACGAAGGTAAGAGATAAATGAAATTTAACATCCTAATAAAAACGAGATTTCTTTCTTTACAGGTCAATTATACCTCAATTTAAAAAAAAAAAACTAAAAAAGAACTAGATTGTAAGTTTCCTATTGGATTAATAAAAATACAATTTGCAAGAGAAAGAAAACAACAATGCTTAATTTAAAAAACAAGAACAACAACAATATATGACTTACCCCATCCAAGAGAGTATTTGATAAATGTATACGGAGATCTTTACGAAATGGAAATTCCAGATTTGAAACATGAAACACCGAATTATCTCTATCAATCATAAAAACTTCATTTGTGCCATCGATCAACATCATATACCTGTAAATGAAACATTAAAAA